CTTTATTTTCTTTTGCAAAACTTTATTATTTTGCATATATATGTGGCATTATATTGACTCCATACAGGACTCCCTCAGTTGTGTGCAGCGAAGAGTGTAGCGAGTCACACGACCCCACCCCCTCCGGTTGGTGCGAGCGGTCAGAGTCACCTGTGTGTAGGATGGCCGAAGGAGATGAATCCCTGGAACATTTTCCCCTGTCGAAAAAGACGAAAAGTTTAATTTTTGGATGAACTAACCTCTTAAGGTTGACTGTTTTTAAAGTTCCCTGTGACCCTGTTTTGCCCTTATCTCAAAAACGGAGAAGAAGAAAAACTTTCCTTAACAGTGTCAAGACTGATCGGTCAGTCTATTTCTCAGCATGCCTGCATGTTTCACTCTCAGATAAGATGTTACAGTGCCAGGGTGCCGCCACGCTCTGCCCACATTCACTTCTTAGCGACTGGCAAAGGATTCTTCCTTCCTCTCTCTGCCGCCTCCTCATCTACACCTCCTAAGCGACCGGCTCCACACATGCTGTTTATTTGGAAGAATCCAGAGAGACACAATGGTGATTTCCTACAGGATCCAGTGATGCAGACATCGTTCTGTTGGCTTTGGCTACAGGCTTTGCTTTCTTTGCCACTACTTTTGCCATGGAAGTTGGAGGAGTTTATTTTGATTTGCTGGATTTGTTGAGTCAGCTTAATGGAATAATGTCATTCGTGTATGTATGTATGTGTATGTTGTTTTTTTTGCCAAAACCAGTCACACTTATTGATATTGAATATTATATATTTTAACTGGAAATGATGTGCTGAATTCACATGTCTGACAGTCTGAAGCTGTGGAAATTCAGAGCAAGCCATATTTGCAGTTTAATTTCAGTAAAAGTCTATTTGGACTGAAGTACTTAGCTGTCTAAAATTGCTGTATGTGTTCATAGTATCAAGCTCTTTTTACCAAAAATGATCATACCTTTAAGCACCATAATTCTGTTTTAATGTTTTGTCAGATAAAAAGTTCTATTATATTTATACTTTTGGCATTGCAGTAATCTTAATGAGTATCATTTAATATGGACTTCAGAAGTATCTTATCTCAAAGGAAGTATTTTTTTATTTTATTTTTTTCTTGGACTGAACTTTCATCCTTTGGGTGATGGGAAACATTCCTGCTTTGACATCACGTGTGTTGTTGGTATTTCAGCTTTTTGTTTTTGTGTGTGCTTTTGGGATAATAGTAATGAGCCAGTCTTCCTTTTAAGATCAGTTTCCATTATTTTTGCACTTGTCCTTTCGTTGACTCCACAAAAGAAGCTTTTATTTCACCCGTCACCTGTAGTTTGCGAAATTGCTGTCGGATTGTAATGTAATTCGGTATGTGTCTATTTTCCTTTCTAATGAAAGTCCATTGAAGTGCTTAGCATCTGTCTGAGAGTTTTGGGTTACAGGCCTATTGAAGATCATTTTGTATTCCATTCACACTTGGAGTCCACCCTTTTCCTCTGCTTGGTTGGCGCAAACCCCTGACTTTAGGCCAGTTTTGCATTTTTTCCCCCCTTACGATGTTTGAGGTTAGGATTTGAACCATGGAGGTTGGTCCTCAACCAGTACTTCAGGAGAAATCTATCCTCGGCCCCTTGGCGTAGTTAAAGGTGGCAAGAGATCACAGATGTTGGAGTAACATGCACGTCGAAGCAGGAAAGGTATCAGACTGCAGAATCTTGGCCAAAAAAATAAAAGTTCTCAATAGTTTCTCATAAGCTCCTCATATTTATTGTAGTTATGTTTTCATGTTGTTATTTTCTGGAAATTAATAACAACTGATGCTCTTGTAATAGCCTACCTACATATTAGGCTCAAGATAGAATCTGCAAACTGAAATGAGGAACAAATTTGTGGAATGGATTTAAACATTTGTAAAACTTATGACTGTACTACAGTACATACTTATTGGTAGGCAAATAATGAATAAACCAATATGCATTGCAAGCAATGGGAGTAATGTCGGCATTTGGAATTCTGTAGAGTTTTTGGAAACTTTCTGCCTGTGTGATTGCTGAAGATGAGCTGTCAAACCAGTACGACAGTTCTTTCTAATGAACTCCTGTCCTGTTTTTCTGTTTGAAGTAGCTGGGTACATATTGAGCAGTGTGAAATAAAGGTGTTAAATCACAGGTGCATCATGATGCATTCATGTCTTGTTGGAATTACA